GGGGGGGGGGGGGTTTGTGCTGTTAACTGAGCTGGCACATGTGTTTCTGCATAAAATATTAAAGGGTTTGATATTTGTTTATGATTCGTATTCTTTGACTAAATTCCTTCTTGATACCAGGTTCATTTACACAGCTGCACTTGATGCACTTGGAAAGGCAAGGAGACCTGTGGAGGCACTCAAAGTGTTTTGTGCAATGCAGGTATCTCCTGTAAATTGTCACTACATAGAGCATCCTTTCTATTTTTTCAATATCTGTGCACATACAACTTTGAATTGGACAGGGGTAAACGCCTTTATTAACCTTATCCCTGTCTCTGTTTCTTCTCCAGCAACATGTGTCCTCATATCCTGACCTTGTAGCTTATCGCTGCGTTGCTGTCACTCTTGGACGAGCAGGACATATGAAGGAACTTTTTGATGTGATTGATAGCATGCGATCTCTTCCCAAAAAGAAGTTCAAGACTGGGGTTCTTGAGAAGTGGGACCCTCGGCTGGAACCAGATATTGTCATCTATAATGCTGTGAGTATTACCTTTTGAGTTTTTGAAATTTGGTAATTTTTATCCCACATCAGTCATTAAGATGACCCTTGGTGGCCTCATTCATTCTTAGTCACAGAATCCATGAATTTTCTTGATCATGCATTAGCCTAATTTATATGATGCTTTACGTCCCTTCACATGTTTGTATGGTCGATAAATAGTAAGTTGAAATAGCAAAACTAATATAAGAGGGTTAGAAAGAAGTAAAGGAGGGAAGAGAAAGAGAAACCGAGGAAGGAGAGAATTATCAGTTTTGTAAGTTACGTTCCCGCTTCCCGAACTCTCTTATTTATAGCAAATTGATATTATAGAAATTAAAATATTATCCTACACCACTAACAATATAAAATAAGAATTCTAACACTCCCCTTTAAGTTGGAGTATAAAGATAAAAAGTGCTTAACTTGGAGTAAAGATTATTGAAGATAAATTGAGTCAATGGTTTGGTAAGGATGTCACTCATCTGATATCTATACTTGATATATGATGTGATAATCTCCTTACGTGATTGAGATTGAAAAAGGATTGGATGAGTTTAAATTGAAAAATTAAATTTTATTATTTATTTGACTAAGAGCATTAATTAGAGTTTGACTAGAAAATTATTATAGAGTTTTAGTAGGGATTTGAGAGTTTAGTTTTGAAACTTTTTTAATATTTTAGTTGGAGAGTAGTTTTTATTTTGGTAGGGAACTTAGCCTATAAATATCGATGTAATCTCCGCTATTTTTATTAGAGAGACTGATATAATAAAAAGTGTTTCTCCATAGAGAATATTATGTGTTTCTTGATCAATTCCTTGCGAGAATGAGGTAAATCTCTTTCCACCTTCTTTTTTCTTCTCTTTCTATTCTTTAATTTCTAGTCCTTCTAGTCCTACATCAATTTGGTATTAGAGCCTTACTGTGATTCATCGTTGCACCAGCATGAACACAATCCGACACAGGTGCTGCCAAACTTCGATCCACCCGTCTCTTGCTACCTCTCCTCACCTTTTCTTTGTCCTTGCAATTTGTAGTTGTTTGCCTCTTGGAGAACGGATTCTCTGGTTCGATAGCGGTCGTTGCCCACAGCCTGCCATAGCCATTCTCTTCTCCGGCATAAACCAATCCTTGTAGCCGCTGTTTGTCAATAGTCAACTTTGGGAGACTAGGGTACTGCTTCATAAACTTTACTTGCGAAGAAGAAGACCCTTGGTGTGTTATTGACCAAAAAAAATAAAAAATCAGCCAACTCCTTTCCAAAAAACCTAGCAGAACCAAGTCCAATCAAAAAAATACCCACTACCCCCCCAACATAAAACCCATAACAACCCCGTACCCAAACCCACGAAATTACACAAACATCCCCAAACCCCTCCAAAATTACAAATTTGACCTCTGTAGTTTCTAAAATTACACTTTTGCCCCTCAAAAGTTTCAGAAATTATACTTTAGCCTAAAAATTTTAGAAATTACAGTTTGGCACTATAATTTTCTAAAATTATAGATTGACCCCAGAATTTTTAAAAATTTTGTAAAATTTTCTTCCAATCAAGATGGTTACCAATGCTAAATTAAGTACTAAAATTGAAGCACATGATTTGCAGCTAGATTCACTCTAAAATTGAAGCACATGATTTGCAGCTAGATTCACTCCAAGCATCAATGGGTTCGCTTCACAAATCAATGGAATATATACATGAAGGTGTACACAAGTTGGCTACCATATTTGGAGTTAAGCTCCCAAATAAGAACCTTGCGGATAAGGTAGATTTTGATTCATTTTCTTCACCAATCGATCATCAACAAATAGTTGAACAAGCTCTGCCCCAAGAAGTTCCTTCACAACCACAAGTTCTAGTTCAATTGAATGATGAGCTAAAATTAGATATAGTTGATGAGCCTAAAAGTTCTTCTCATCATACATTAATTGCTTTTGATAAGTCGATCTCAAAGGATCTTCTTACAGAAGAAGTTAAAGGAGTTTCAAAGGGTGCCATTACAAATGGAGTTGTCTCCACTGGTTTATATGCTTCCTTCACCTATATCAGTGTCTATGGACAAGATTGTGAAGAATGTAACACATCAACATATTGTTTTTTACTATGGGGATCTACAATGTTATTTTTTTGGAACCCAAGCTTCTTTAGATGTTTTGGATTTTTTGTGGCCCTCCAACTCTTGGAGAAGAGTTTTTTTCGGCCGGAGAGAATTGATAGAGATCGAAGAGGGATTAGATGAGTTTAAATTGAAAAATTGAATTTTGTTATTTGTTTTTAGTAATATTTATTTGACAAAGAGTATTAATTAGAGTTTGACTAGAAAATTATTATAGATTTTTAGTAGGATAGAGATTTGAGAGTTTGATTAAGAAACTCTTTTAGTAAGAGAGTAGTTTTTATTTTGGTAGGGAACTTAGCCAATAAATATTGATATAATCCCGATTATTTTTATTAGAGAGAGTGATATAATAAAAAATATTTTTTTGTGGAGAATTTTGTGTTTGTTAACCAACTCCTTGCGATGATGAAGTAAATTCTTTCCACCCTTCTTCTTTCTTTTTCTCTTTCTATTCTCTGATTTCTATCCTGCATCATTACACATCAAGAGATCTCAAATAAAATGACAATCCACTTCGAATTTTCTAGTTGTTACAATCAATGTTACCTAGATCGTGAGTCACTTTGATACATGGTACAAGTATGGATACATGGTACGACACTTTGTTAGGTATGCTGTACGCGGTACGATGAGGGTGGGCAGTGTTTTGAAAAGCTCGCCTAGGCGAGAAGCGAGGCGAGGCGAGCTTATCTCGCCTGGAGGACCCCAGGCGAAGCGAACGTGAGCGAAGCGAGAAAAAGCGAAAAAGCGAAGAAGCGAAAAAGCGAACGCTTTATTATAAAAAGCGATTCTGCTTCAACTTTTTTTTTTTTTCTGATTACAGGTTAGTAGTCTCTTTTATTTTTTAATCACTAATGACTTTTTTTTAGACTATTGCTGGTCTATTTTTTTTTTTTTTTAATAAACAATGTTTCGAACAAAACACATTCCTTTTTTTTCCTTGTGTTGCTGAATTCATTTAGAATATTTGTGGAATGTGGGAGTCAGGCGACTGCATTGCATGACAATTATGATAAAAAAAGGAAGCAGGAGTATCAAAAATGGGGGTAAATAATAGATTCTTCTACAAAGAAGTGTCTCTGATATGTCTTGGTTATACTTTTTCCTTTTCTTATATATATACAAATGGTACCAAAAAGTGGTCTATGCTTATACCATGTTTAATTATTTTAGTACATGTGAAATGTGCCTCTGTTCTGCTTTTTTTTATTCAATATATAATTACATATGAAATTGTTTACAATTGATTCTGCTCCTGTCATGATCATTGTGCTTCTGTTTTTTTTTTAACTCATTCTGCTTCTATTTTTTTTTGTTTATTCTGTTGCTGCTTCGGTTTTGCTGTCTTGTGTTGCTTTTATTTTTTTTTATCCTCATTCTACTTCTTTTTTTTTTTGTTGCTAATTCTGCTGTTGTCCTGATTCTGCTTCTTTTGTTGTCCTACCCTGTCAATATGAAAATGTATACAATTGTTAGTATTTGTTTGAATTTAAATGTTTAAGTTATGACTGTTATTAAGATTTGAGATATTATTAGTATTTTTTTTTAATTTAAATGTTTATGGTTTTACTTGCATTTAAATATTTAGTATATATAAAATTAAAACTTAGATTGTTTAGAAGTAATTAAACTAAAATATATATTTTTTTTAACTGTTCGCTTTACTTCGGTAAAGCGTGTCGCTTCGCTTCTCGCTTCTCGCCTAGGCGTTAGGAGCCTTGGTCGCTTCGGTTCGCTTTAGGCCTTAAATAACACTGAGGGTGGGTTTACCTAGTATGATATTTTGGGTCGCAATTTATTTTGGAACTCTTATGTAGATTGTTTTCATTACTATACAACATTATATATTACAAAATATTCATAAACACTAAGTTAGTTACTATTTATCTTATAGTTGTGCTTTATTTTTTATTATCTAAAATAATATATAATTATAAATCTATATACATGTAGTTAATTAATATATATTTTATATTTGTGCTAAATGTTTTAAAACGAATTGATTTAGGGTTAATATTATAATTTGAGGTCATCTATTTTGGTAATCTGGATTGCGAATCCACCTCGTTTGGGATCAATGTACCCAGATTGTGGATCGTTAATGGTTTAGTGAATTATGGTAATCATAGTCACAATGCATCCCCATAGGAGAGGGCACACTGATACCCATATCATGAAGTAGAGAACGAACTCACATCTTATATGCACTATGAGCCATGTCCCGGTATTCAGCATCAGTACTCGAACGTGCAACCACATTCTGTTTTTTACTAAGCCAAATAATAAGATTACCACCAATAAATATATACTAGCTTGAAGAGATTGTCTATTAATACGAGTACCTGCTTAGTTAGCATTAGAAAAACCAGTAATAATCTTGGATAAGGAAGGTGTTAGAGGGTTTAGCTTATTATTAGGGGTAGTTTAGTCATTTTTTTTAGTTTATGTTACTCTATTATATAAAAGGGTTTCTATTGTGTATCTTATTTTAATGTTTTGACAGATTAATGTGGTTATATATTTTCTCATTTTCTCTCTTCTCTCTTATATTTGATCAATATTATCCTGGTGTTAGAGCAATTACGATCCTAAACACAAATAGTGCAGTCATGTTCATAAAGGGAAGAAATTGAATGCATTTAGGGTTGACGTCATCAACTAGAATGTTGAGATCAATGCCAAAATGTTGACGTCAGCAACGAGAGGCCACCGGAGACACCCATTTGCNTCTATTTTGGTAATCTGGATTGCGAACCCACCTCGTTTGGGATCAATGTACCCAGATTGTGGATCGTTAATGGTTTAGTGAATTATGGTAATCATGGTCACAATGCATCCCCATAGGAGAGGGCACACTGATACCCATATCATGAAGTAGAGAACGAACTCACATCT